TTTATGCTTTATTGTTTGTAATATGGAAATAAAAATATTTCCTTTCCATTTGGATTAGCATAATCATCTTATATCCTTTTTATTTACAAGGTTTCGACCGTTGTTTGCTCGGTCCTTATTCAGGTTTCTTTTTACACATACAGTAACCTTCTTGGAATTTCGATCTGAACCCTTCCTTCCTTCAGTCCATATCGGTAGGTTATTGTCATTACATTTTCCCTGCTTTTGGGAGACAGCAAAATATCTGTTGACACTCACTGGTTTTATTTACTTCCGTTTCACTTGTTCGTTTCTTTCACTGAACCAGAGCGGGTGTCTTTTCAGTAATACCAACTCCACGGACCGGACTAAAGACTTTCAAGGTACTAACCAATAATTGGCCGTGTCTTGGACAATCCAGTGATAGAATTATAGAAACCTTAAACCTAATATCTGCACTTTGCTGTTTGACATTTCTTTCTTTCTTAACCCTTAGGAGAAGACAGGGTCAACATATCGGCCGAAAAGTCGAATGATGAAGAAAACGACTGGGCCGATCCGTTGGCCTGATAATACAAGACACAAGATTAGCTGGCTTGTCTTCCTATAAGCCAACCAGAGTGATTCTTGCATTTCTTGCATATCTGGTCCTTTCAATGGCGATTTCTATTATGGTTTTCCGTGTTCTGTAATTTTTACATCAATTCTTTTTATTCCGGTTGAGGACGTGTGAAAAGAGCTCCATTTCGGCAGTGAAATTCCAACGTCTTCAAAGCGGTAATCAAATACCTTCCCGCTGGTGTTCAGTTCTAGGCTAGGTTTACAGCTGAGGTTGCTAATTCATAACATATGCGCTGATTCTTTTAATCCCCCTATTCTCTACTGGTGAATATCCTTATTATTAATTGAAGATGAAAAGAAATAATAATATTTTTAAATTCCTTCAAGAAAAAAAAAAACCCAAAAAACTCAGTATTACACACCTATGTTTTTATAAGATTTGACGAGTCTGTCACGCATTTTCTTGCTTTGTTATTTATTTTTTTAGCCGTTAGATTAAAACTTACATTTTTATATTTCTCTTACATCAAGAATTTCTCCTTAAAGTCCATTCTTTGGAAAGTTCTGTGATTTTTTATGGTTATTTATTTTGTCAAGATTCTTCATCTCTTTAGATTTTCTTAGCATTTATAGTTCGACCATTATATAAAACTTTTGTAATAATATAAAGTTGGGAAATGATTCAAAAGCAACAAAATTACCATGTGGAAGTTTACCGTACAGAATATCCACAAGTAAAACGGGTTTGATTTTCATCTGTTGTCCTAAACATGACGATATATAAATAACAAGAATTACGCTTTGTCATGGAGAAAAGGTTAAGCAAGTCACTCCAAAGACAGTTACTATTATAATGAATTCCATTCTCATATCTTTTCTGCAAGTTCTAAATACATTTTGGCTTCCCTGTTGACAGTGATAATTATGGAACCCAGATAAATTCCACAATTTCAAATTCTAATTCTAAACATATGAAATCCTTCTTATCTGACAGGTAACGTAAATACCCTGTGTATTCTCCATAAGTATTTTCATGATAACAGCTCAGACGAGCTTTCCTTTTTGATCCCTAGACTTTACGGATTTAAGCACAGTACTCGACATCTCATCATTTTCCAGTTGAAATTGCTTGATGAAACCTTAACTTATATGCTAGCAGTTTCTAATCTTCACACTTTTTGCTCTTCCGTCTTCTTGCATCCCAGTCATCTTTGATCTTTAAATATTCAAATGAAATGTCTATCGTTATCTACTGTATTCTTAATTCTTGTTCTTTTATTGCTTTCTCTTCATAATAATATTTTTATTTTTCTCATATTATTTCCCATTCAGTAAGCGCTTGCGTCTTAGTTGTTCGATTGTCTTTGGTTTGAAATTATTAAAAACAAAAGATAGAGATAACCGTCTGTGTTTCCTATTAACAATTGTGCCACATCAAACGAAATATCAAGAACATTTATGGTGGTCTGTTGCGAAATCCACGACAGAATTTATCGTCCTTAACTCTTATGGCTGTATATAAATATATTCCATTTGGACAAATCTGATATACAGATTCTTAATCAAGACATGAAAGAGATTGAAATCATTTCATACGTTATTCGGACCTTTTATTCATTAGTTTCAGATACAATCTTCGAAATTCAAGAGAACGAGAGAATTAATTTACCTGCTTCAATTATCGGCAGAAAGAGTAAAGGAGTAAAAAGGTAAAAAGGAAAGGCAAATAATCCAAATAGAGTTAAGCGAATAAATGCAGGCGGCTAAACATGGTCGCTTAAATAACATGTCTCTGAGAAATAAAAAGAGAAGGTTAGAAAGGAATATGTGTTAAAACAGAGTTAATGACCCCTCTCTGTATGGCTGTCTCTATCTCACTCACTCACTCACTCACTCACTCACTCACTCACTCACTCACTGTCTATATGTCTATGTCTATATATATATATATATGTATATATATATATATATATGTGTGTGTGTGTGTATTTGTGTGTGTGTGTGTGTGTGTGTGTGTGTGTGTGTGTGTGTGTGTGTGTGTTAGAAGTATTAGACGTAGAAAGTAAGGGAGGTGGGTAAGGACCAGACATAAGTCATATCACTGGAAACGAGATAAAGAGAAAAAAAATAACATATTTACATTATTCCGACCATTGTCCTCATCTTTGTCGCCATATTTATTACAACGTTTCGGTCGTTGTAAAGCTCCGGCCTTCTTTAGGTGGTTGGAATGTCGAACTGAACCCTTTATTTCGCACACTGGGTTAGACTGTTCTAATTCCACGTGCCGTGTTTAATGGATGTCAGTTAACAGTTATCTCCTGTTAATTTTCCATCTGAAAATTCTCCACTGCCTTAGCAGGGTATGGAACTCACACGCTTTTGTTTTTTGTCACTGGATCTAACCAACCTTTTTATCCACTGTGCCATGTGTCCTTGAGGACATCTGTGTATGAATTTCTGGGTATTATAAACCTAATGTCTCCAGCAACCGTTTTTTTTTTATTTATGCTCATATTGCAATTTTTGCTGTTATCATTACATGTTTTTACCAGATTGCAACTTTTGTTGTTATTATCACTTTTCTCTGGCACTCCTTATTACTGGTTCCCATATTCTATTTATTTCTATGCTTGGTCGGCTCAGGAGCTTTTTGTGGCCTAGCATATGTGCTGATTCCTTAAGTTTACGAATTTTCTAATGGTGTTCCTTGTCTATGATCTCAACCTGATCCCACAGAGGGCGGTGAACTCCCTTCTCTCTTCATATGTGGTCAGCCATGCCTGATTCTTCCACTTCTCTTCGTGTTACAGATTTCTGGTGTTCTTGGCCTGTCTCTCCTTTATAATTCTTTCCGCAGCTGCACGGGGTAGCGTACACACAGTCTTTAGTCGTGTTCTCTTCTATGGGGGGTCTTACTCGGGAGAGATATCTGCAAAGTGTCGCCAAGCTTTTGAAGGTTGTCCTGATGTTATATGGACCACAGATCCTTTGTATTTTCCCTGATAACCCCTTCACATAAGGCAGGCAGACTGTTTTTTGAGTTTTGTTGCCATCATCCTCTTGTACCCGCCTATCCCAGTTTTGGGAGGCTGCTGCCATGTACCCAGGGTAGTTGTTACGTTGTAGGTTACTACTTATACTGAATATTTCTTTATCTAATGTCTCTGGGTCTCCACTTATGACTTTTGCTCTCGGTGTTGTAAGCAGCGTACGATCGCTTTCTTTACGCTGTATGGATAGTGGGAGTTGAAATTGAGGTACTGTCCGGTGAATGTCGGTTTACGGTATACGGATGTCTTGAACCCATGCTCTGTTCGAGATATTAGAACATCCAGGAATGGGAGTTTGTTGGTGTGGCCAGAGTATGAAGGTGTCATCTACGTACCTTAACCATATAATTGGCTTTAGAGATATAGATATATATAATATAGACAGATACTGCAAAAAAAAACTAACTAACTATACACACACACACACACACACATATATATATATATATATATATATATATATATATATATACAGAGCGAGAGAGAGATAGATAGATAGATAGATAAGACATGTCTCAGTGATTAATTTAGACAAGTTATGTTTACTGATTTTCAATAGGATCATCTTATATTCACGGACAAGCTTCTTAGTGTCTATCTCAGAAGCTCATCTTCGTTGTTAACGGTCACGCTTGTCCATTATCACCAAAAGATTTTCAGTTGAGTTACAGTCAGGACTCTGACTAAGCCACTGGAAGAGTTGCAATTTATCCTCGTCGCGACCAAAAAATGGACGCTTCCACAGAAATGATGATGAACAAAATGTAAAGCTATATAATAGTTAATATAGAAGATGAGCTTTTTCGGGAATAAAAGAAAATCTAGCGAAGGATGCATTATGTGTATGTATTAAATTTTTATTTTCACGGCAAAATAGCATAAAAAAACTTTAAATCAGCTTTTGTTTTTTATGCATCGCCCCCTTTCTATTGAAGGCTCTTCACAACTTTCTGACCTTTGAAGCTTGAAGTAGAGTTTTCTCTTTTATGTCAATTTTTCTCATCCGAAATTAACTTCAACTGCTTCATGAATTATGCTTACTGACAGGCAAAATTTTGTTTATTATTCAGTTAAGCAATAAAATGTTTCATCGAAATATAAGAGGATCTAAATGAGGATGGAATTCAACGTGAGACACATTAAAAGAATCTTTAGTAACATCCATAAATGAGATCATCGCACAAAAAAACTAAACGAAGAAAAAAAAAGGGATGGATGACAGATGAAATTCTCGTCGTGATGAAACGGAGACAGCAAACAATGCCAAGGTATGGCACAGAATATAGGATAGAGGGCACTGTACTCAAATATTTGACCGGCAAGAGGAATGGCTCAATGAAATGTATACCGAAATAGAAAAAATGAGGATACTTATTCTTTGTTCTTTATAGAAAAGATGTTCTTTTAATGGATGCAGACAGTCAACGTGTTTGTTAAAAATATGATAAAGCAGATAAGCATAAAATAATAAGAGAAATAATTAGACATGTTCCTCGACAGGATACATAAAATCAAAAGAGAGAAAGCCGATAATAAATAAAGAAAAATATCTGACAGATGGAACGAATACATGGGAGAAATCTTCCAAGACGAAAGAGAAAATCTTGCAAGGCGAAAGAAGGAAATCTCTTAAGACGAAAGAGGAAAAATTTGCGATACATAAATATATGGAAGGACAATATTTAATAAAATCTGTAGTGAAATCAGCCAAGGGTTAAATTGAACATGTACAAAGCGGCAGGGTTAGCAGGAATTGTAATATTAATGATGGCAGCCTTAGATGACTTTAATATTGCCAAAATTACAGAAATATTAAATGTTATATACGACAGTGGTGATATAACGGAAGTTCCACTTTCATAATGCTAAGAAAATAAGCACAAACGAACGCAAAATCTATCAGACAATCAGCCTATAAATGCCGTTAGACGCTATTTATTGTCTTAAGATAATCTCCTAATCTTCATAGATTAGTATGTATATTATAAAAGAAAAATAACTGATACTAAATTTAAAGCATGTGTTGTTTCTAACGAAACTCTGGTTCGTTAATAATCTCAAATTTGAAGCATCAAAGTTAGAATTAGCTTTCTGTCGTTTCGATAGAGTAGAAATATGAGATCTGATAAAAGGTACAATAGATATATGAAAAAATCTGGCAACGATTATCGTTTCGCTGGGAAGATCTTGAGTCAACTAAGCAGATAAGGCACTTGAAACCTTCTTCATTTATTGAATAGCTATCTAGTACACCCTTCACGTATTTATCTATTTATCCCAAGTTCTTCATCTGTTTAGCTAGAAAACTCCATCTATCTATCTATCTATCTATCTATCTATCTCAATTTTCATATCTATCTTTTTCAGTTTCTTCATATCTACGTATTTATATATCTATCTATTTTTGTTTCTTTAAATCTATCTCAGTTGTTTCATATCTGTCTATTTCAATTTCTTAATATCTATCTATCTTTTTCAGTTTCTTCACATCTATCTATCTATCTATCTATCTATCTATCTCAGTTTCTTCGCATCTATCTATCTATCTATCTATCTATCTATCTATCTATCTATCTATCTCACTCGTATGCTTGAATATATACACCGATACCTTTGCTTACATAGAATAGAAAAATAGGAGACAAAGTGTCATGTATTTAACTCTTCCATTTCCCTTTTCCTGTTTCCCTTCTAGAATTCCTCAAGCTCCCTAACCGCCCACTTATACATTGCTACTCTCGATTATTCTTCGTCCTTCTCTTCCCTACCCACCAACACAATACCCGGCACTATGTAATCTCATCTGCTAAAGCGCATCAATTTTACTTAGGTTCGCTGATCAATAGTGAATGCTAGTAAAAGCCATCTTAAGAAACAACAGCTGACGAGAAGATTTCAGCTGTGAAATATTCTCTTCTTATTGTCATGAGCTAAGATAATCACATAACAGAATATTTAAAAAGACTCTGATGATATATTTTTTTTTAATTGTGTGATTTTATTAGCAGCTAAAAATATAACCTGATATAGGATTTGACTCAGCTTAGAATTCCAACGTCACAACAGTGAGGCATACAAGAACTTCAGACTTATTACGTCAATGAATTTGAATCACCACATTAATAAAAATAGAGCTTTAATCTGATACAATGCTGCAAATCTGGGGTGCTTAATCATGGTCGTTCTCATTCCACAGAAGTAATTCTTGTAATATATCTTTGCGAGTTAAGGCATGATGCAAAATCGTCGGAAATGATCTGAAGCAGCTCTGGACAACATGCGTAATATATTAAAACATCATCATTTTGTATCATAACCAAAAGTATCTATCTATCTATCTATCTATCTATCTATCTATCTATCTATCTATCTATCTATCACAACATGTTAATTATCTATCTATCTATCTATCTATCTATCTGGCTCACAGGCATAATACGTTGAAATAACAGTTCCTATATTATCACCGAAGTTAAGCAACGTCGAGCCTGTTCAACACCTACATGGTTGATCACTTGGGAATAACATGTGCTATGTGCTATAATATGCGGGTGGGGTGTAAAGGATAATGGCTCGGAATTGTCAATCGGAGAGCCGAGTTCTAATTCGAATATGGATGGTCATATTCACTTACGTGCAAATAACTATGGAAATGTTATGAATCCAGCACTTCTCTCCAGGCTATTGGATACTTAGTAGGATTTTTGTTAGTAGATCATTATTAGCTAAAAAAATTCTAGCAATGGGTTGATAAACAGTAATAAACTAGCATTTATGGATACAGGCAATGTGAACATAGAAATCAACACTGCATAGTGACTGTCAGTCTCACGCCTTAAGCGATCATTAAACCCAGTGTTCTGATGATCAATTAAAGTATGAATCTCTCTCTCTCTCTCTCTCTCTCTCTATATATATATATATATATATATATATATATATATATATGGCAGCAGGTCAGTTATCTATCTATCTATCTATCTATGCCAACATGTAACTTATCTCTCTCTCTCTCTCTCTCTCTATATATATATATATATATATATATATATATATATATGCCAACATGTCAATTATCTATCTATCTATCTATCTATCTATCTATCTATCTATCTATCTATCAGTCTATAAAATCTTGGTCTTTAATATCTCCATCTATCTCTCTATTTATTTATTTGATTATGTTAGAAAAATATTCGAGTCTAATGTGTCCGGAGTTGATTAAGACCCCGCTCGGACACCATGTATAAATTGTTTGGTGTTAGACTCTTTCCTACTAACCATTTCTCAAAATTGAAACGGTCTGATGACTTACTGATCTTTAATGGAACGATCGAATTGGTCAATATAAAAAGCTCAACGAACAACAAAAGTCATTTGTTAAGCCTGAATAATTATCGCATTGATATAAGAAAACTACTGTTTAAAATGTGAATAACGCAAATTTCACCAGCGCTGTCCATGGCGAGAATTGATTCTACATAGATGTTGTCATCGTAGATATAAGAAACCACATTAGGATATGAAAGTCGATTATCAAAGTATATGAAAGAGAAATAAAAATGATCTCCATAGGACCAAACACATATATAACAACAGAAAATCATAATATTTCTGAATCTCTATCAGAAAGATCATTAGAAAAATATCACGTCAGCAAAGGTAAGGCAATGAAATCGAATGAAATACATCAATTAGACAATGAAACCGAAAATCTGTTTTCAATGCATATAGTAAATTATAAAAATCTTTTGAATAGCATCATATTTATGAAAGGTAGGGTGTATTTGGACTCAGGGTCACAGGTGAAGTTTATTTTGAGTTCGACGTTATTTAGTTTGTTGGCTAGATCGAGTAGTATTATGTCTTGTGCATATATTAGTACAGAACTATCTATGTATCTGAAATAAGCAGAAGTTTGTGATAAAATATTTTTGAGAGGGACATTCCAGAAAATCCGAAAAATAGACAAGACAAAAAAGCCACTGAGTATCACATCAAATCCATGAACTTGCCGTTAACCTAATGAATCTTCATAAGCACTCGTATACTTAAAGATTTCTGTTCTATATAAATACTAGTCACAAAATAAAATTCTTACCTTTGACTCGATAGAGTCCCTTAGATGACGAAAGGCGTCAGCTAAGATAAGTTTTCCTTTTTCGTTATTCATATTGTTATTTTACAGATATAATTTATCTGAAAGTTTAACGCACACACACACACACACACACACATATATATATATATATATATATATATATATATATATATATATATATATATATATATATATATTTTGGCAGCATGTTTCTATTGAGATATATTTCTTTGTTCTGTCTATTTCTTTCTCAGTAGGATCCTTTTATATTCACGGATAACCTTTTTGGTGTCATTAATTGAAGGACGAGAGAAAATCGTCGTCTTGATACATATTTCTTTTATTACTAATAGATTTCTTTAATACTCATTTCATAAAAAAACTCTCCACAACCATACTTATTTACATCTCCTTAAACGGTGACGGTGGTCATGGACTAATCCAGCGTCCATTACTCCGCATGTAAGAAATTTTACTTTCCGATGAACACAGCAATTTTGCTTTGACAATAATGAACACTACAATATTTATCTTGTAAGAAAAATACGTTGATGATGACATTGTGCTATGTCGAAAGTACTCGTAATAAAAGAAATATGTAGCAACATTATTTTCGTTCATCCTTCAATAACGACACCAAAAAACTTATCTGTGAATATGAAAGGCTGGAATTAAAAATAACTAGACAGAACATATCAAAATTATTCAACGAAATATGCCTCAATATATATATATATATATATATATATATATATATATATATATGTGGAGAGAGAGAGAGAAAATTACATTTAATGAAGTTCAATACCCCATATGCATAGCCATTTCACCTCCTAACGAAAAATTACTTATCGAGGATTTTCACCAAAAATGTGTGTATATATATATATATATATATATATATATATATATTAACTGACTTAAAATATGTTTTTTTGCTACACAGTAATAACCATGTTTCAAAAATGAAACTAAAACTTCAAATTTTCAAATTTAATTATATAATTAAATTAAAAGCATAAGTTAGCGAATACTGGAATAACTTAATTTTAAATTTATTGAGTTTTAAACGCACATATAAATTTATAATTTCCTGTTTCCAAGGATATAGAGAAATCCTGTCATTTAGACAAGGGCGCTAGCGTCTTCATTTTTATTAACTATTGTTGTATCAATTATGAGTTACGTTCGAAAAAGAGGTTAAGTTGAGGGAGGGTAGGGGTTTATTTTTCAACGAATTCTGACATTCGTTAAATGCATGCCGGCTGGTTTTTTTATTAACAGCGAAAGGTTTTTCGCCATTTTTTTTTTCGTACTTGTATACTTAAAGATTTTTTCTAGGGGTGTTTGGGTTAGAATACGTTTTATTTAACTACAATTTTACTCTTAATTACTAATAGACTATATTTTTTTTTAAAAGAAGTAAATGTAATAGAATTACTTAAATTATTTAATATCTAATATACATATGTATATTACCAGCTCACATTTTTTAATTTTATTATTAAATTTTATTTTTAGATATTATTTAAGGAACATTTTTGACAATGACGGCAAAAAATAGCTATTTCATTTCTCTGATTCAGTAAATTTTTATTTTTTATAAACTTAGTAATACATAGTTTCTCATGTATGCACAAAGGGCATGGGTCATTTAATGACCTACAAATTCTAGCTTTTCTTATTAATTTCCATTTTACTGTAGGTGTTTTATTGGATTCTTTTAAGTGCCAGAAATATTGATGCTCTGTAAATTTACATTGCGCACTGTTCTGTAAAAATAAAAAAAATCAATAAGAACACCGGTTTATATATCTTACTGTTCTTTTATATATATATATATATATATATATATATATATATATATATATATATATAATGTGTGTGTGTGTGTATGCGCGTGTGTGTGTGTGTATGTGTGTGTGTGTGTGTGTGTGTGTGTGTGTGTGTGTATCTTCTGAATGTGCCAATGTGTGTTGTCTCAACTGTTTATGCTGGTCAATGGTGCATTATGCTATCAAGGTCTATTGCATTATTGTTACGGCTGTTGGCTGGACAATAACAATTATCTTTCTGATTAATCTAGAAGCTATTGAATACGAATAATTATATATCCGAATGTAATAATATTTTACTGTTGTTTGTTAACCTTTTTTACTCATTATTTATTATTCATTAATTAATTATTTATTATTGATTATTGCTACTACATTTACTTTTAATTATTTGTGCATTCGTAGTTTGATAATTAATTACTTGTTTATATAGTTAAAACTTTTGTCTATTTTCTTTTCTTTTTTTTATATATATATATATATATATATATATATATATATATATATATATATATATTTTGGTTGGATAGATGTGAGTTTGTGACCCTGGGTTTCACGCTTTAGCGATCGTCAGACAAACTCTGAGTTTGTCTGACGATCGCTAAAGCGTGAAACCCAGGGTCACAACCCACAGCTATCCAACCAAATATGTTAGCTCTATCTCTGATATTGAGCGCTTTCTAATAAGTACCGCGCATATAATATATAAATAATTATACATATATATATTTATATTTATATACACTTTTCACACACACACACAAACACACACAATCACGCACACACACACACACACACACACACACACATATATATATATATATATATATATATATATATATATATATATATATATATATATATGTATGTTTAGTGGCTTGGTTATCTTTGTTTAGTTTAACTTTCTTTTTAAGTATGATGCACTATCCGCGTTGTATATAAGGGAAAATATTTGCATATTTCATTTTTTTTCCCGTCAACATTTTCACATGAATTCTGATCGTCTGTTTAGTAATATGTGTTGATCACGGAAGTTGATTATAACCATTTTCTCCTCCGGACAAAGATTGCTGTTTTGCGATGCAATTACAACATATTTTTTTTTATAAGAAGAAATATCTAACATTTTCAAATATTTCCACTTGGATGTTTTCACTTGTTGTTCATATGACAAAATGTTGTTATATCTGTCTATATTTCTAAGATGAGGCAGTGTAGATATTTACATTAGTTGCCTTGTTCGGACTGTTGTCCTCTTTTTTTTTTTTGTCATATACATGACGCTTCGGTCGTTGTACGCACCAGCCTTTGTTGAAATTTCGATCAGAACACTTTATTTCGTCCATTGGAGTAGATTGTTCTAGTTTCACATTCCATGCCTCTTCCGGATATCACAGTTTTCAGTTATTTCCTTAAGAAACTCAACAATCTCACATGAAAGCGTTGGATCAAGTAATCCAGTGACTTGTCCCAAAGAGTTGTAAGTACAATAACTGGCCACAGAGGAGGTGAACGAAAAATTGACGAATTGAATTGTTGAAATGTGTACAACGGCCGAAAGTGCGTTAATATGACAATAAAGATGAGCACAACAATCTGAACAATGTTAATAGTGCTTTTCTATGTAAAAAAAAAAACAATTGAAGAGTTAATATTTGTACTGAATGCAGGTAGTAATTACAAAATACACACTTTTGGCGAGGACCAATTTTTCTGTTTGCATCACTTTTCCTACATTTAGAAACCAATATTATTTCTCATAATCTGTTGTTTTGTAAAGAACATCTCTTGTGTTTTCCATACATTTATAAACATCTCCTTTCATAGGCTTTTCTTTTACATATAAGAACATTTTTTTTTGTTTTTCTTCCTGCACGTTTTTTATACTTACCAATCTACTCTGTGTTTTTACAGGCTTTTGTTTCACGTATAAATCACACTTGTTTTTCCAATTAATTTTCTTTTGTTAAAGAAACAGTTTTCTTATATTCATATGCATGGCTCTTGTTTCATAAACTTTTTCCAGATTGATTTTTAAAGATTTTAAAGATTTTCATTTATTTTTATAAGCGACTGCATTGTTTCCCTATTTTCATTTTTACATTCACAACGTCGTTGGCTCTTTAAAATACTTTTGTTACTGGGATTTCATACAATTTCTTTTATTTATAACAACTCTTTCTTTTTAATAATTT